TTACATGCTATTTAGGTCAACTTGTTAATTTTTGCATAGTTCACCTATTAAGATCATAAATCAGATGTTTTCTATTTTTATTGAAATTTTTATACCTTTTATTGCAAAAAAAAATGTAAGAATTTAAAAAGTTATGACTCGTGTTAATTTTTAATTTTAAGATACACACTTCACTTTTGTTTTGTTTTAGATATTCCTCGGTATGGAGATTTTCGGAATGTACATAAATGTGTTTCTTAATTGGGGTGAGTTTCAAAGCCTACCTGTATTGAAGCTGGAGGCTTATTATATCCGAAATAGGCATTACAACTATTCTAGATTGAAATAGATGGGAAAAGGCCTTAAAGGGACAATCATTATAAGAATATTAGAATTAGAATGATTTGTCCTTGGAGTAATAAGGGATATTTAAAACATTAAAACAATTGTGTTTATAAATTAACTACTTTGACTTTTTATAATAATAAAAACATTGTCATGTGCTATGCTGGTTATCATATTATTTTTCTTTTTCAGTAATTTAGTGTGTGATATAGTGCTTGTTATGTTCAAAATATGCAGTTAGAAGATAATGAAACACATTGTAATTACATGGTAATTCTAAATAAATTAAACTTGTTAAAAATGTGTTTTATTTTTCAACTAATTTTATTTTTCAGTTAAAACAAGTGACATTTTCCATTTTTCAACATTTACCTACAACAAAAATTCACTAAACCTATTGTTTGTTTAGTAGTTGTAAGTAAAAGTTGTCAAATAGGAAAATGTTACTTCAAATTACTTCAAATATCTAAATTATCAAGCCCGCCAATTTTTAAATCGCTTTAATTAGTAGTGTTCTACTTTATCGACTGAAACTGATAGGTGTAGTTCAACCGTAAGCGCTTAGCGCGCTACTGTCGAGGTCAAGCAAACTTGTTACCAACTATTTACATGGAATCCGACCCCCGTACATAGGCACTTCTCCAAAGCACCTTTCCAAATATTATTATAATGCGGCTAATGAGTAACAATCGTGTCTTATTAATAAATAGTTATTCCCAACGTTTGTTAAGCGGTCATAAACGTTGGAGTTTTTAAAAATTCTGCTATTATGTACGAATCCCAGCTTCACTGACAGTATTATACTTGTAGACATTTCTTGTACGTTGCAACTTTCTTAAACGTTGGAACTGGCAAATACGTTCCTATTAAGATATTCATCCTCAAATTTACCAAATTTCACTTTCCAATCCAAAAACTTTTCCATTTTGTAATTTAAACCAGACAGATACCATAACAGGACTAATCTAAGCAGATGGGGAGATGGTTCAGTACACGCTTAAGTATTTGCCAGCAATTGCTTACATAGCAAAAGCATTTGTCACCCTTACTCATGTATATTATATTATATATATATTAAGGAAATACTTAACATTTTCAAGCTAAACCGTTTCTTTTAGCTTTTCCTTATATTTGAAGCAATTACTATAAGGTCAAGTAATTACTAAACATTTTATTCATTTTAACTAAGGCATTTGTTAGGAAGTTCCCAAAAAAACAATTGCTAAATTTTTATTCATTAGGCCCAATATATCTTCTACCTAATGCTATCATCGGGTAGTTTCCAAACTATGTAAAGGCTTTCTCGAATATGCTTGGTTTTTAAAAAAGGTAACCGGAACTATGCAATTATAACCCTATTACTATTTGTGCAATTTCTCAAATACATTCTTTTAAAATACATCAAATAAATTCTCAAAGACATAGTCACAACAATATGTGCGGCCGTTTCTCTTTCGACAACAACTACTCTTTTGGCTAATACCTCACCAGGTATTGAATTACTTCGAAGGAAAATAGCAGAGATAGAACATATTTTCAACACTCTTTTAAGCTTAACCAGTGCTGCGCTCTCCTATGTAATGGATAAATAATTGACGCGATCATTGGTGACGTTATTTTGCATACTACCGCCGTAACATAGACTTGTTGATTTCTTAACAGCTTATTATTACTTTCTGATACCAAAAAACAAGGCGGTAAGTCCGCAATTTTTATCAAATCGTTTGAAATGAGATATCTTCTTAAAAATCTACTATGTTGTGAATGTTTTGGCACATTTAAATGATACTTAAATAGATAGTTTTTGTCATATCATGAATTTATAAAACATAAACACATTAAATAGTATTAGTAAGTTTATTTATTGTTTCCAGGTGCCTAGAAATTACACACGTAAGACTGCCATCCTCTCTTACATGGTTGAAAACCTGCAAAATGCGCTGGATGCCATAAGGAATGATGAAAGAAAAATTAAGAAAGCGGGAAAATTTTAAAAAATACCAGAATCTACCCTCAGAAAAAATCTGTTAGAAAATTATGAGAAACCACTTCGATTGGGCCACAAGAATATATTTACAAAAGAAATAGCGTATGAGTTAAAATAATATGTATTGCTACTTTCAAAGGCCTGACACAAAATATTGTTCATAACTTTAATCGAGAAAATGAAGTAGCTGGAAAGGCATTACCTTATGGCTTCTTAAAAAGAGTTCCTGGGGTAAAACTGAGACAGAACCAAATAGAATATTTGACATTGACGAAATAGGTATTACAACCGTTTAAGCCAAATGACCAAAGGTTTATGATGCCAAGGTAGCAAAACAAGTGCGCTTCGCTATATCCGGTGAAATGGGAAGGACCATAACTGTATGAGTTTTTTAGGGATTTATATCCCCCCTATGCTTATTCATCCCCGAAAAATAATGCCCTAAAACTCTTAAAAAAACGAACTTTTGGGTGCTTTCTATAAATGTTCCAAAAATGGTTGGATTAATTCTAAGTTGTTTTTTCAGTGGTTGTCCCATTTCGCAAAATATGCTAAGCCTACTGCAACTGATCCCATCCTTTTGGTTTTGGATAAACATTTAAGTCATATTTCGATTTCAGCTTATAATTTTTTTAAGGAAAATAATATTCATATGGTGTCTCTTTCATCCCTACAACTCAGACTATCTTCAGCCATTAGATTTAACATTTTTAAGTCCACTAAAGAACGCTCTCTATAAAGAATACGATGTTTATTTATGCTCCTCTGGTCATCAAAAAATAACAGAATATGACGTCGCTGAATTATTAAATATTACATTTATGAAAGTAGTGTGCTAAACAATAAAAATAAAAATATTTGACCGATAAAACCAAGGAAAATTTTTATTTATATAAAAAGATTAAGAGAGACTGTCTTCCATTTTCGCGGAAATTGCTTTAGTAAAATTTGAGGTCACAGCCTACTTAGAAGTGAATTTTACTGAATTTTCCTTAAACATTCATGTACGAAGATGATTTATTATTTTTCCTACGACCACTTAGGAAAGTGACACATATCACACTATAAAGTCCTATGGAAAGTGCCCTATATCACACGCGTATGAATAAGAATTTACTTTCCACCCGAGTGAGAATATGTTACTTTCCGCAGTAGTTGTTACAAAATGTCAAACACCTAATTTCTATTTTGATCTATGTAATGTCCATATTAATACTAAACTCGATATGATTGTTAAATTATTGAAATTGTTGTAAATTAGATCCTAGATATTTATCTTTAACAATTATTATTAAAATAATTTTAAAATAACTAAGATTGTTTGCTTTTTATTCTGGTTAAACATATAACCCATTAGATCACTTAATTGACGAAAGGCCTGTTAGCTCAGTTGGTTAGAGCATCAAACTATCAAATTTGCCATTTGAGAGACTTGATGAATGACCGCGTTCGAATCCTGGCGGGGCCAGAACTTTTTTTTATTTTTTTGTTTTTAATTTTTTTTTTGTTTAAAAAATATGAAAATTGAATAAATACGATTGTTGTTGATTATTTTTTTAAATACATTTTAATTATTATAATAACCTGGTTTTACATTTAGTGATGAAAATATTTTGTGGTCGTAGGAAAAATATTGTACATCACTTGTGTAAAAAGTGATTTTCCACACTCGTGTGATAGTCGTACTCGGCTTGTGCCTCGTGCGACAATATTTCCCACTCGTGTGAAAAATGTCACTTTCCACACTCGTAATGTAATATACTATTTTTATTCACTCTATTTTAGACACTGTCACTAGATAATTGCCTAACTTTTTTTTAAATTAAAGCTTTGATACACAAATATTTGTAAAACATTTCTTAAAGTTATTGACCTACTAATTATTTTATTTTTTCTCTTTTTAATGATATTTAGATATTTTAAGATTCTAGATATTTGAAAACTCTTCTACAAACCATAATTAATATTATGTATGCATTAAATCTCATCTACATTAAATATTTTTTTAGAATCAGAGGTAGAGTCTGCACTGACATCTTAATTTGAATTCAGCTATTATTATTGGTCTTCCCAAAGTGTGGATTGTGTCAGTAACTAATCACAAGACTCCATTCTAAAAGTTTCCAGTAAAAATTTTCTCAAAAGAACTTTGTTTTTGTTATAAAATTTGTATGTGAAGTCAAATTTGCTATGTTGATACTCAAAATCAGTAAGTATATTATTATGTACATTTTTAAACTATAAAATATTTCAACAAAAGTATTGTTTGTTACAATATTTATTCTTCTTCAACCCTTGTCTTTTAAATGAGGTCAGTCCCGTGGACATTGTATGCTACATACATACATAAATAAATAATAAATAAAAATGAATACTAAGGTACCTTTAATAAAAAAAAATAAATAATAATACTTTAAATTTTATTTATTTAGAATTTTACATACCAATGAACTGCTCTCATAATTTATTTTTTATATAATATTTTCAAGCTCGAATAGAAAAACTAGTTAGATAATGATATATGGCAGTTCTATCTACATCAATACATCAATACGATTCCACACATTATGTCATTTCATCTGGAAATAAATAAACTATTCTATAATTATAACTAATACCATTGATGCATAACCGTGAGAAAAACTGTCCCACTATATTCTAGATGAGAAGGTACTGCCAGAAATGGTACGGCGATGGTAAGTGCATAAACTCTTCGGTAGTAGTACCCATTTCAATTTCACCGGGTTATCGTTGAGTAGGTGCGGTACTTTACTGTTTTCTGCGTGTGCTAGTGGTGAAATTTGGTTTGTGAATTTTAACGTTGAATCAAGACACGTAAGTTAGTTTTTTTATTGGTACCTTTAAAAATAATCTACAATAACGGTTGTCTTGTAATGATACACTGAGGAAAATAATATGATGTGTCTAATACATAACTTTTCTGTAAAGTTATTAAATATATTGATTACGAATAATTTTAATTAGAAAATTCCCCTTAAATTTCGCCATTACGTCTATCTTATAGAAATCATAGGACAAAAATGATAGAGAATAAAATTACAAACAACTCTTATAAAAATAATTTTCTTTTATAATCGTGGATATGAACTATTAAAATTACAAAACGCAACCATTACCGAGCCGAAATAAAATACAAAAAATGAAAGCTAAGCTTTTTAAAAAATTACATAGTGAGCTAACCAGATCTGTTGCTGATCTCATAAACTTAATCTGTGCTAGCTTTGATGTCCGTCTATATTTAAAACAGCTACATAAAATTACTTATATTTATAAAAATAGATTTAATGTCCAATTATAGAGCTATATCTCTAACTACAATGTTGGCAAACATAATCATCTAGTTAATTAATAATTTATATACACACCTTGTGATAATGTTAATTGAGGTAAACCAGGATTCGATGCAAAGTTTGGTGCAAATGGATAAATAAAACCATACAAATTTATATTTCAACTCTTTAATTTTTTATACTTTAAATGTGATGAAAGAATAAGCAAAGTATATTACAATTTGTACTATTTACTGAGATCTGACCCGCTCAAACGCGAACCACGTTCGTTTGCTATCAAGATGTCTTTTATTTAGGTTGATGACCAACAGAGTTAACGATCAGCTTCAATTCGCCAGTTGGTTAACTACTGTGTTGAAGTTTATACTTTTATTTAGGTTGATTACCAACGGAGTTAACGAACAGCGCCAATTCGCCAGTTGGTTAACTACTGTGTTGACGTTTACATTTTTATTCAGCTTGTTTCTATTCTAGATATAGGTGTACAGGTTGTACCCTCTTAGGTAAATATTTTGACGAGTATAGAGGTAATGACCAACGGAGATAACGAACAACGTCAATTCGCCAGTTGTTTACTATACTATGTTGATTTCATATATACTTTGCTTCAAACCTAGTAGGAATAGCTTAGCATACAGGTGCCCCCCTTGAGTTAACGAACAGTGTATTAACCAACTGCTTAACTTACTGTTAAATTTTACCCTCTCGGTTTGTACAATTTATCCAAGATAGCATATCCTTGTATATTTCTAAAAATATTGATTTTTATAATTTCTATTAAAATTACTTAATACAACCCTGTATATTTTCTATAATATTGATTATTACAATTTCTATTGAAATATCTTAATACAATCCTGTTTATTTCTTAATATTGATTTTTATAATTTCTATTGAAATACTCAAATTGACCTATCGAAAACAGATGACTAACATATCTGTCTTTTGGGGTGAACGACTGAAGGCCATATGGTTTATTGGTTACATTGATAATATTTTAAAGCAAGTATCAAGCCCTCGTCTAAACGACCCCGGTGGTATCTCAAAGAGAGTTTACATAAATCTTTTGACTTACCATTGCAAATACAGAGATTAGATTATGTACTAATTTCATCTAGCATTGTGACTACGTCGATTTAGGTACATCGCAGCGTTGAGCGTCGCCTTGCATCAAGACGCCTAGCGTTGTGGTGGAGAGGAAGGTATTTAATACGGTACTGCATAGAGACACACATACGGTAGAAAATACTTAAATGGTGCTACGCGACGAAGGGTGTCGACAAGGATATTATGAAGGAAATATTTAGGGATCGCAAGCGTCGGTAAATAAAGCGTGGGACGTTCACAGCGTTCGGGGGATAGGAAATATTGTAGGAAAGACGTTGTTTAGGTAGAGCGTTTTAGGAAACTGACTACTGAACTTGAAATATAACTAGATGCAAATGATAAAATGAATGCATGCACATAAATTAATAAAATTAATTAATTCGGGCTCATTTGGATACGGGTTCCTATACCCGTCTTAATGGCTTTTTGTGACGTCAGCTTGTCTTATTTCTCAGCGAAAAACGAATTAGGGTGGAAAGAGAAGTAGGTGGTAAATTTATTGTGAGCCTTGAGAGCTTTGTTTATCTAAATATTATCGAAATCGGTCTTAACAACGAAACTAGAAAGATAAGCGAGTTAAGTGTTTTAATGATGATTACTTCGTAAAAAGAAATGTTTTATGGTGGTTTCAGGTCGGGTTCCCAGACACTTGTAGGAAAGTGAATCTCTTACGGGAAGGGTTATAAATGTTATTTATTAGATGTCGTAAATAAGATTTAATTATCTGGGAGATTTTCGTTAAGGATCTTGAATTTAATTTTATTTAATATAAGGAATTGATAAATTATTAAGGTACCTGGGTGAGGTAGGTTACAAAAGTTTACTTTTCTCTTTTTCATTCTCATCTATCTTATGGAATCTCGTTATGAGGGGGGAAACTCGTTTGAATCTTAAGCCATTTTCGTTTAACAAAAAAGCAATAAGAGTTGTGACGCGGAGCCGTCTCTGTGCTTGATTTAATCCTTTCCCGTGGTATTTAGTCTAGCGCTGGCCATATAGAGATAAATACTTTATATAATTAGCGCGAGTTTGTCCAATTTGTCCAGTTTGTCCAATTTAAGTGTTGGACAAAAAAGATAAATTTTAATAAATGAATAAATTATACTTAAATTAAACTAACGTTACAGGATTTTGTAGAATGTGGGGTACAGGGACTCTTGTAGATACTTATTTGTTAAACTTAAAATTATATTGTATTGCAATTCACAAAACAGTTCCCTCATTTCGTACTCAGTCTAGTATTCAGTATTACAATATTAGAAATGATGACTCTATAACCTAGCTATAGATTATTAAACACACAGAAAAACTCCTTTGACATGAATCTATATAATGCTTTAATTCTTTGAATCATGTTTGTTTTCATTTATTTGCGTGTAGATGGTGCATTCTTCCTGAGTCTTCTCATTCAAAATACCCCAAAAATATTTTTAATTTGTAGTGATGCCATTTGAATTAAGACATTTTTATATTTATACCATTAGGTTACAAGCATTTTTTCTGATATTTCATTTCATTTTATTAATATATTAGTCCTAGGTCCAACGTGCAGATTTGTGACTTATTTTCTTATGGCTGAATTTATTAGTAAATTGTGCTATGGTACGTGTCCAACGAATTTACGGAAGCGCGACGTTTAGACTGAGGCGCTTAGGTAGCTATAGAAATTACAAGTGGTACGTGCATCTCCAAAACTTGACTTATTTTCTTAATATTTTCGTTATGCTGATACTTTGCCGCTTGAGACAGAAAGTGACAACGAACTTTTTTCTCAAAATGCACACAAGATTTTTTCTACGATCACATTATTTTAAGAAATAGATATAAAAACTGAATATTTATCGTAAGTAGTGTATAATGTGTTGCCTATATCTAAGTTAGTCATGAAAAACGGAGTTGTTAACTTGGACAATACAACAAAAAAGTATCAAACTACGTACAAATAATTCGAAAATCATTTGTTAAAAAGAAATTAATATATTATATATAATTTAAATTAGGCGAGCAACAAAGCCGTCATGTTTTCTGCTCGGCGAGCGACAAAGCTGTCACTTAATGTCAATTCGCGGAACACGTCAACTTTGCGGTTGTATTTCAAAGCGCAAAAGCCTACTTTGGATAGCGATCATAGAAAAAAAAAATTAAACCCTCCACCAATTTTGCTAGGCCATTTTTTCTCTCCAATGTTTTAAAATGGTGCGTAAGAGGGTATGCGCACGTGACTTATTTTCAAAAAGAAACGCTTGTATCAAAGCAAGATAAAAATGATATAACTTTTCATTAAATTAATATCCAAGATAATAAGTGAGTTTAAAAAAAATTGAATGTATAAATACGCTATATCTTAACAAAATGGATGTAAATAATAATGCAGTGGTTTTTGAGGTAGCTGAAAACGAATAATAATATTTTATCCAATTTTTAAATTTTCCTCATTATGTAATATTCTATATGCTGGTTCGTAAATGCTAAATTTGGCCACCTTGTATTAAAATATTCGTTTTATAATATTAAACAATACAATTTAGATCTTAATGGCTAGTAAAAATGTTTAAATTATGTGGGCGAATTCGTTCTCAGCGACCTCAAAACTTCATCAAAAATACTTTGTCAACTTATTGCGTTTATATGAAATCATTATTATTTGTATTTCTTTATTTTTGTTAGACACTAAAAGCCGATCAATATTCTTATTGGATACTAATTCAGTTAAAAGCTATCATATTTATCTTACTTTGATACAACAAAAAAAAAACAAAAAAAAAAACAAAAAAAAGTTGGATAGATGCCGAAATTGCTTCCTCAAGTCAATCACTAAAAGACCTTTTTATATTAAACAAATATAATTCCTCATTTTACCGAAATATATAAAGAACGTAAGAAAAATCATTCCTTTTTATTACAAAGAAAAAAAAAAGAACATAGAATTATTAAATTTATTACTTAAGAAAATTAAAAACAAAATATCTTCTGGGGCCGATGACGTAACGTGTTTTGTACTAAAATAAGTATTAGATGTTCTCTCTGAACCTTTAACATATTTGGTAAACTTATCATTTGAGATTGGCAGTTTTCCTCAAGCTTTAAAACTGAGGAAAGTTTTACCATTGCACAAGAAAAATGATCGTAGACAAATAGAAAACTATCGACCTGTTGCTTTTTCCTATGGTCTATCTAAAATCTTTAAATATGCCTTTCTTGATCGTCTTCTGTCTTTCTTGAAAAGGTACAACATTATAACAGGAAATCAGCATGTATTATGTGCTGAAAAATCAACAACTCCTATGCCTTCATTTTACAATAAAATTATTCACCATTTGGAGAAATCTGAATGCCTAGTTGCTATTTTTTGTGATCTTAGTAAAAGTAAAGCATTCGATTGTGTAAACCATGAGTTGCTGTTAAATATATTGGAGA